AGGTTTTGAGAAGACTATGCTAAATTAAGTGATTGTGGGTAAATTAAACTACCTTTCCTTCATCAATTTAAATGCAATTCGGTGATTACAGCTCTTATATAAGATCTACTGGTAATTTAGAAACTTACCTATATAGGAAAACTGTATCGGTTATTGTTCAAATAACTCGGGAAACATTTCTTTTTTAGACTGAATTGCGTCAAATGAAGAAGGAAAATGATAACCTGACATTACAAATTTTAGAGACGAATCGGATAAACAAAGATTATCCTGAGAAAATTGCAGAACTCGAAGAAAAATGTTATCAACTTACAAATTTTCCTGATCTCAACGGGCCAATCTTCGTTACCGAAACAGGTGAATAAACAACTGTTGAAAATGAACCTGTCTAGCTCGTCTTTAAACCTGTTTACCAGTCTCATCGAATGTTTTTCACCCTCTGCATAATCATTTTTATTGAGATTGTGCACAGTTTTAGATTTAATTCCTTTGAGCATTGTAGATATTAGATAAATATCATCCTGGTTAACCCTAAATGGTGTGAATCGCCAAATTATAGTTTGCTATTCAGATAAATTGCACGCGGCATAGTTATACACCCTATTTGAAGGCATTCCGGGAAAATTAATGGTTAATATCGCCTTTAAATTTAGGAGAAAATCTCTGGACTTCTGAAAATTCCCTATTTTTGTTTATAAGCAGGCAATTTTCCACACATATTTAACTTTAAATCCTTATTACAAATCATTGTTAGATAGAAAAGAAACTATTTAAACTCTTAATGCTAACTATATATATGGTTATGGCTTATTTTAAAATTTAATTTACCATTAAGAGGAATAAACTATGAAATGGCTAAATCCACTTATTTATCTTCACATATTCATCCTCATTTTCTTTTTCTCATTCCCATCATTCACACCCTTCATTTTCCTCTTTACCTCCTCTTCTATTTACTGTACCCTGATTCCTCATCATCAATCTCTTCACTCTTCTCATATTTTCTATCCTTCACTTCTGTCTTCACTTTTTCTTTATTCCCTTATTTATAATACTGCCCTTCCTGTTCCTTTGTATTCTTCTACCTGTCATCCGTCTATATCATATGGATTTTCTTTGCCTCTTTCCCACTCCCCCTTCATCCACCTCATCTTCTCTTTCGTTACTTTCTTTCCATCCTACCTCTCTTACTTCCCCTTTTCTCGTTATCCTCCTCTACTTCATGTTCATTCTCCTTACCTTTATCCATACCCTTCTTTTTCCTTCCTCTTCCTCCTACTTTTCTATCTTCTCTTTATTCTCTTTTTCCTTCTCTTCCTTCTTGTACTCTTCTTCGTTCTTTCCTCATGTCATCTATCCTTTTTGCTCCTGTCCAGGTGCATCCGTTACACTTGGTGACGAGTTGTCTGGTCAAATTCGGGCGAATCAAATACGCATTGAGCTTTTACAGCACCAAACCGGTCGACTTCAAGAGGCCCTCAACAGACTGGCATCTTCGAGTAGTTCTCTGAAGCCTGACTGTCCCAACGCTTTAAGAGGAGATCTTGGTGGTTTAGAAGTTGACAAAAATATCACTTCCGTCACCTTGGGTGTCCAGCCGTTTTGCCAGCCAGCTTCCTTCAGGTAGTAACTCCCCTATACTTTTGCTTCTGGGGCGATTGCATCATATGCCGAAGGCGAGAGCAGTTGCCACATTTTTTCTGTTTCAATGAAGACTATGTTTATCTTTTAGACTCTACTTAAAATGACTAAATCTCTGCCTTCGGAGTGGATAAGTCTAGAAATTGTCATAGATATTTTAGTAGAAACATGGTAGTCTTCGATTTGCTGGTACAGCTTCATGGATCGATACAAGGAGATGATGCGATGGTCATTGTCAGCATGGTTGCCGTACTACAGTCTGGATAAGAATGTCGACCAAATTGGATCACGAGAGGCACCAAACGTGAGCAGGCGACCAGTGGTTTTCTCAGTTACCTTTAGCCACCTTTTGTTCAGACACTCAAGTTTCTTATTTAAGGATCACTCTCAAAAGTTTTCTCACAAGTTTTAATCGCCCATTAAGGAAGCGATTTCAGCTTTTGAACAATGTATTCCTCTCTTCCTTTTTATTTTGTGGAAAACTGAATACGACGCCTAGACGGCGAATAATTCAACGTTTCTGTAAGCAGTTTTCGAGGCTAGTAGTAAGGCTTGAATAAGAATTTAGTCACCGTATGTCTCTTCGAGTGTCTTAATAACTGATAGGTGAGTTTTCCCACAATGAAAGGAATAAGCTCCACTCTGATACTGAATCTCACTGGGTCTTAATTCCTAAATGACTATTTCATCCAGGCTGGACTGGCTGGCAATTTCGATCTCCTTAACCCATTCGGATTCGATACCGGGTCGTGAGTATCGTGGCGACGTTACTACTCTACTACATATCAACAGTACCAAAAGGTCACAGTTTATACGTGACAGTCAAGGAGAATCAGGCTTCATCAAAATCACATTTACAGTGAGACTGTCGATTGAGCAAATATGTGCTTGCAAGGGCAATCGACGACGCTACTTATTTTTATGTAAGTAGTTTTCAAGGCTATCAGATATTTTTCAATGTGAACTCAGCCATTCTAGGTTGCTTAATGTGATTTAAAGACTGTCAGTCGGATTTTTCAAAAATAAGACTATTAGGACTCATGATGCCAGTATATTTTGCTTGAACTCGCTTCCCAATAGGCCTTATTGTCCCGGGAGTCTAGATCGTGAGGTCTACTCATCTGATTGCGAAAAACTCGAAATTCAGACTTTCAATTGCTGTATGCTGTGATTCATCCCCTTTTAGACTTATAAGACATCTGCGCATTATGTAGCTTAGTTTTAAAATCGACTGTGGCATATCGTCTAATCAACTAAATAAAGTCTGATTTAGTCGTCAATATTGCTACAGAGTTACTTTACATCATTTCTAGGTTTAGGCATGCTATGAAACTTGGAAGTACTTTATCGCACAGCTATCCGAAGCATATAGATTTTTCCCTCTCTTTTCGCTTTATCTTGATGGCAACCCCCCTAATTATAATCCAAATCCTATCATTTTTTTATTCTAGCACAAAATTAGCGACACATAAAGGAGTCCCATTGTGACGATACATTTGGGGTATAACACAATACAAGGAGTGTCTAATCTCTTGTTTAT